CTGTATCAGTCATTGTTAAACGGACAACTGAAGAAGTGGCTCATCATGACATCCGCTCAGTGGCTAGAGGGTGGCGTGATGGCGCACTGCTGCGCATTGGCGTCTTGTGGCGCTGGGGCCCTGGGTTCAATCTGAGGTGCTGTCTGTGTGGAGTCTGCATGGTCTCCCCGTGTGCACTTGGGTTTCCTCCAGGAGCTGCACAAAATGTCGTCTTTGTAAACGCAGACTGAATATTCCATTAATATATTAACAATTTCCAGAGACTCGCTGTTTTGCATTGTTTCTAGGCTCAAGATTCAACAGTCACACACAGTTTATGCATATTGAATGTCATTTGCTTACATGACCTAGTTATGCAAAGAAATGTGTAATGGGTTTGTTTTTCCAAACGATGTGTAAATAATTATCCAGCTGGTTCTTGCTTAAAGCCAGAGTATCGGTTCAGTCACAAGGCTGGGTAGCCTGTTCCACTCTCCCACCACTCTTTGTGTCCTGATTGCAGGATCTCATTCAGCTGTCTTGAGAGAAGCAAAAACAGCGGCTTCAACACATGGCTGAGCAGCGTGTCCCACACCCCTGCCACCCTCAGTGGGGAAAACAGGTGCCTCCTGTTCTCGGTTTTAATTGCACTTCCACAGTTTCCAGCCGTGTTCTCTGTGTCGAAATTTCTCCCACACGGATCTGTTGGACAAACGCTTTTAAATTCCCTCACCCATTCCCCACTCCCTTCCCATTCCTGTTCATTTTCCCATGCGGATGATCACAAAACTGGACACTGCGCTCATAGAAAGATAGCCTTTATTGCACAAGGTGTTGATTACTCTTTTTTTTGTTTTGTTTGGTTTTATAGAAAATGTCTCATTAAACACAAGCATTTGCAAATAGAAGCAACTTTTCAAGAAGAGTCAGGAATCCTTTCTGTTAAGCAAAAGTTTTAAGAGCATGCACCGCCTCTTCAATGAGAGAATCCCAAAGAAAGTCAACAGAAATTCCCAAAAGTTAAAAACGATCAACAACACAAAAATAACCGTGAAAAAAACAGAATAAAAAAATTCAACAGAAAAATCTTTTAAGAAAAAGGAAAGTTAAAAGCCAAATCTTAGAATTTTTTAATTTACTTAGATGGCATTACTTGCCTCTTTCATAAAGCAAGGTCAATGTCTTAATTTCCCCACCCTTATTTAACTTACAACAACAAAGCTTTTTGTGCCCTGGATAATTCTGAAGATGACGAAAATAGTTATTATTTATACAAAAGAGATTCGTATATACAAGAGATTGTTTTGTAGTTTATAAACGATGGTGGGAGGGGCTGTAAGGGCAGGAAGTGAAGGGGGTGGGTGTGGCCTGATGATGGGGGAGGGGCTAGGTCAGGGGGAGGAGTTTCCTGACTCCTCCTGCACTCTTTTTTTTTTTTTTGCACGACAGGTTGGAGTTAAGGAGTCCCTGATTGCAACTGGCTAAACTGGCCTGTACGAGGCCGTGACCTCCCCTGCACCCCAGGAGTTGAACGGCCTGTACTGCGCTGTCTCAGGGGGGACGTGACCTCTGCAGTGCTACGTCTTGGGTCTCAGAGGTCCCATGACCTTCGCTAGGCCGGGGGCAGTGATTCCACTGGCAGTTCAGAATAGGTGCAGGTCAAACGGACAGAGCTTCCGAGTCTAATAAGGAATGTTCCAGTTCAGCCCTGGAACCGTTTAGGCATTGGCTGGAAGGGATTAGAAATAATCTATGCATTTTGGCAGTAAAAGGTTTATATAGCTATAAAAAATAAGGAACTTTTTTCAGATTATGAAAATGTTAAATACCATGTATATTATAGTACTTCTGTAGTGTCAAAAATATGCCATCCATAGCAATATTAAAAAAAAAAGTCAAGCTTCTAGCTTGCTTACTACCAGTGAGCAATCCAGGTGTTGTTTAGCTGATTGCAAGACCGAACACAGGATCTCAGCTGTGTAGTCTGTAGTCTGGGGGAAAAACACTAATTTACAGCTAGGGAGGGTACTGGCTTACAGCATGTTCCATGGGTAATCCTACAAATCCATGTCAATTGGGTTGTGGTGGGAAGAAACAAAATGTTCTGTGTGATCATCAAAGCCAAAGATGGTCTCGTCTTTCTCCAGGCCCTGCAAAGTGAACCAGTTCTGTGTTCCAGTTGTTAGCTTAGGCCTGTATGTACGTATAACAATCTGTACATGCATAAACATATATGTAATATACATGTATCTGAATATAACAATCTATACATGCATACACATGTATGTAATCTACAGATGCATATACCTGTATATCAGTATTGCAGTCTATACATGTCATAATCGGTATGGGCATGTACAGTATGTAAAAAATCACACGTGTACATGTACAGTACATGAATATAACAATTGCGCATACACACGTAGACTATCCCCATCAGGCTTGTGATCAACTCCAAACTGCCAAATGGACTGTGCTGAATTCCAGGGGCTTTGGGGACAGGTCCTAGGCGCTAGATTTCTTCTCTCGCTCCCTCCTCTGGGTTACCTGAAACTTGACCTGAGGATGTGGGGGGTGCTCGGCTCACCAAGGGAAATGGGGGGGGGGTTAGGAGGCAGCAGGTTAACGCAAAAACTAGAGAGGCTACTACACAGCACGTCTCTGAGGGAGACTCGGCCGTGTGATCACAGTGTGCAGATTGAGCGATGACGGGAAAGATGGGACAGGGGGTGAAGGGCTGCTTTTAATGGAGCTTTTGAGCAGCTGGGTCCGTATGTAATGTGCTTCAATATCTCAGGCTGTAGAGCAAACTCTAAAGAACACAACTGATTGTAGACAACAGTTCTTACTTGTCTGCCCTGTGCGTTACTCGGCGTCAGTGTTCCGACTTTGGGTTTCCAGAGTCACATGACACTCTCGCTCCATTACGCTTGTGTTGAGTATCCTTGCAGATACAATGCAAACACTAACTGCTCCCTTAATGTCATGATAAAATGGGAATGGGAGTGTATGAATGTTTAAATTAGTTAAAAAAAACCTCAGAGGGGTTCTTTGATTGCCTGTGTGTACAAACACATATATATATCTATATATGAATCAGAATTTGGAGGTTGGGTTAACTCCAAGTAGTGCACGTGTTTCATAAAAAAAAATACTGAAACAATTCATATCTCATCCATTTCAAATACATTTGTTTTCTTCCCATTATAAAACAATACTTCAGATTATAGAGTGGGGAGAAAAGCCACTAGACTCCAACATGGCTGTTTAAGATGAAGTCCTTGAAACAGTTTTCCACATATTGCTGCAAGAGAGCAGAAGAGATAAGGGAGCTCATATTCCACTGGGTCCAAGCTCCCCCGAGATTCATACACTAGGATGTGGGTACAGTTCCCCATCATGGAAAATTAGGAGTGATTCATTTCTAATGAAGAAAGAGGGTAGCTATGGGGTTTGCATGTTTTTCGGAGGGAGGTGACAAAGGTGAGAGAGTGGAGGAGTCTTGGTGTAAAAGATGACACCAGTGGCGTAGATCATAGCAATGTCTGAAGATTACACCAGTAGTAGTCGCCTACACTAGTGTATAAGACTTGGAATAAGCTCCGGCTCCTTGCTTCTGCAGTCTGCCCAAGCCAGCTGAGTTGCCCTCTAATAAGGAGTCTCTAGAACCACCTATTTTGGCGGCAGCGGTGGGATTGGCGCCGGACGCACTGGCTGATGCAGCCGCGGCAGCGGCGCTGGTACTGGGCGCCGCCGAGCCTGGCATGGTGAGAGTCCTCTGGGGCAGCGTGGCTGTGCCCGAGCTCCCTCCCATGCCCACCCCAGGATGGGCCAGGGTAAGCGCTTGCTTGCTACTGCTGCCTGGGTCCAAAGTCATGTGACGTGCGGCCTGCGTGTGATAGGCCCTTGCCGCCAGGCTGCGGATGGAGGCCTCGCGGGGCGGCACCACGGGGCAGGGGTCATGCAGCTCCGGCTGCTTGCGGAAGAAGGGGTCCGTCTTCATGTAGAGAGGGAGGTTGCAGTAATCGCCTGGAGGACAGGAGAGGGGACAAAAGAGAAAGTGAATCGTGAAACAGATAGAAACAAAAGACAGTCCCGGGTTGGTTCGTAAATGTGTGTAAGCCTGATTTATATATTAACAGACACATGGCACAGCAACCCACTAGCATTACGTTTACGGTATAATTTGGGATATTGAAACAGTCTTTTTAAACATCAACTATCCACTTTACAGCTGCTTCTTACTGAGAAAGAACACAGTGAATGTGTCAAAAAAGGCCATAAACTCGACAGGACAGACCAAGCACAGGGCCCTGTGTGTAGTGTGAAGCTCCCTGAAGTGATGCAGAATGGCAAGACAGTGCTTTCTGTGTCATCACGGGACTGAGCATGCCCATTTTTTTAACAAGATGAAATTCTCTCTGATTAGTTTTAATAAGTTTATGGCATTCTTGTCATATTTATAGTCTATAATGTGTAACACAAACACTCTTACCAGTCATTTTGTATCATTTAAAACCTGTTTGCTACTTTTATTTGCAGAATATAAGAAATATATAGAAAAAATGTATTGTGTAATTTACAAGCAGAAAAATCAGTATTCCCTTCAATAAAACAAAACTACTATTGGAATAGAAATAATAAAACCATTGATATGATGCCTAGAAACATCTCTTTACAAACAAAATACCTTTAAAAACTAAATACAAGTGGAAAAACAACAAGCTTAAAGCAATATCCAACATAACCACTGATGGCAACAAAAAACAAAATAATGTACATTTTCTAGCGGTTAATTCAGTGCGACTGCTCTTAGGTGGATCTCACTTCGTCACTTGCACCTCTTGAAAGGGTAGGTCAGTGTCAGCTGATCTCAGTGCACGCTCACACAGAGACACATTCTCAGTCATCTAGCATCAGGGGCCTTTATAGTAACTGCTTTCTATGTTATCAATAGATTTTTAAAATCAATTCTATAGCATACTGGAAGACACTGCAGCGAAGCCAACACAGAAGTAATATGAGCCCTTTGCTTTTTTGCCATTAGACCTCTAGCAGCTGCGTTCTATACAAGCTACAGACATGACAGAGCGTAAATCCTCAGCACTGCCACCGCCCAGTCACGGTAGAACACAGATGAGATCTAACTTTCTGCCCCCAGACAAGGCAAGAAATGATCTGATTTTAACAATACTGCTCTTGAGGAGAGACTAATGTAAGATCAAAGTTTGAAGTCCGAGTCGGATAAAGTCCCACATTTGGGTTTCACATTCAAAGTTTCCCCAGATCTATTACAGTTGCTGACATGATGTGAAGGAGATCACACTGGTGTCTTGTCATGCTTTCATTGCAGAAACATTTAAACGCTCCTACTAGTAGTAACAGCATGAGACTCAAATCTAGGCTGGACGAAGCAGCATTGGTGCCACCTGGTGTAATACGCATCCCATTTTTGGGAATAATCTCATGTATAACAGAAACAGCATATAACCCAGTGATTTGAAGAGACGTTATTTTAGTTCACTGTCGGGGAACCACTTGACAAACGCATACTCCCAATACTAATAAAAATGCCAAATGTCATTATCGGGTAATAAGCACTCCCGCTACCCTGAACTGGATGAGGCAGTTAGAAAATGGATGGATGGTAACACCGCTGCTCCAATTTTCTGGAATGAAATTCTGGAACGAGTGGCAGCAGCTCAGTTACAGGGTCATCTAACGAGCTTCACAGGCCGGGGGGCGGCACTCACTCTTGTTGGCGCGGTGGGGAATGGGCACGGCCACGTTCTTCCCGCGGTCGTAGTCCTGCGGCTTGGGCGGCGAGGCAGTGAAGCGGCAGATGCCCGGCTCGGAGGGCGTGCTCATGGAGGTCATGCTGTCCGCGTTCTCGTTGGTGCCCGTGGTCATCTGGTCGGAGGAGCTGTCGGAGATGAAGCACTCGGTGATCTCGAACTTGGCGTGCTGCAGCTGCTCCTCCAGCTTGGCGTGCTCGTAGGCGCGGGCCAGCTCCTCGTAGGTGGAGGACGCGCTCTCCGTAGACACCATGCTGTTCCGGCCCTTGTCTGCAGGGGGCGACACGGAGACAAGGCGCAGGGGATGAGGAGGGGGCCCAGAAAGACGGCGAGTGACGGAGTGCTTGTGTAGTGTTCCGTGTTCATCATACGTTTCAGCAGCACCACCACCTTGTAGCCTGATCTTGTCAGACCACAGAAGAGTATCAGAGCTGGTCCTGGTCAGTGCTCAGAGGGCAGTGTAAGGTTTCATCTGTGTGTGTGGAAGGGCTCCTTCTGAATTGGCTCTTTGCATGCAGCAGGAGGGAGACACATCTGCTGAAAATGCACATGAGATGCAAGTGTGAGATGTGAGATCAGTCTGCTTAAGGAATGTCAGTGTTGCCTAGATGGAGATTTGCATTTGGAACTTAAAAAGAGCTGGGGCCCTGGGTTCAATTCCTGGAGCGCTGTCTGGGTGGAGTTTGTATGTTCTCCCCAAGTTCACTTGGGTTTCCTCCGGGTGCTCCTGTTTCCTCCCACAGTCCAAAGACATGCTGGGGCAGTTAACTGGCTTCTCAGAAAATCACCTTTGTGTGTGTCTGTGTCTGTGTGTGCCCTGCAGAGGACTGGCACTCTGTCCAGGGTGTGTCCTGCCTTGTGCCTGTTGCTTGCTGGGATAGACTCCAGCCCTCCCATCACCCTGAATCGGATAAAGTGGTTAGATAATGGATGGATGAAATGGAGGGAGTTCATGACCTCTACCAGTCTTGACGTCTGTTTTCACAATGCAGGGAAAGTCTGCGTGTGGATGCCGAGGACATGGGGGCGGCGACGGGCACCTGTGTCCTGGGACAGGCTGGCACTGTAGCTGTCGCTCTCGGTGACGGTGATGCCGTGCTGCGAGCCTACGGTGCGCCAGTCGGAGGTGAGGGTGCGAGCCGGCGTGGAGGCCTGGCACTTGGTCAGCGTCCACTGGCTGGAGTAGCGGTTGCGGGTGCTGTGGGCGGACTTCACGCTCTTACGGGAGACCGGATCTGGGAAAGGGAGAGGGAGGCAGGCGGCATATTGACAAAGCCCGTTTCAGCGCGTCGGGAGCAGGGCAGTGTGGCGTGCTGGGCAGGGCTCCGACTCCTGTTGGCAGGCTGGGGGTTGAAATCAGTGCTTGATTAAGACGCACTCCTTCAGTCACTCCAGTCTGCTCAGGCGGAGTTTACTCACTACTGCATCCTCTTTCCAGGGGAGGATCATAGCTCTCTGTCTGCTTAATGCTAAAGAAGCCTGGAAAACCTCAGGCCTGAGGAGCTCAGGGGCTGAACAGCACGCACTCAGGCCCAGATCCCCACGAGCCACAGGGAATGACGTGTGATCTGTCATCATAACTGCCATCGGACAATTGGAGATCTGACTGCTCCCCTTTTCCCTCCCTGTTCTCTCTTCGCAAAACAGAAATCACCAGTTTTACTCTTAAATTTCAGACACCACATTCTTTTTTTTAATGTTCACTTTTTCCAGAAAGTGGACTTTAAAAAAGAATAATACCCAAAAAATATAAATGATTAAATTAAAAGTATTCTGTTAGGAGCTGAAGACCATGAAGTGCCAGTTAGTCTTGAGGCAAGATTGGAAAACAGGCACAGAGGGCAGGAAAAGTTATTCCAGAACCGGGGGCTGCTGCTCATCGGGCCTGTAGCCAGCGAGCAGGTCCACACGGGGATATACTGTAATAAGGTGTGCAGGAGACAAACTCGATAGAGAATCTAAATGAAAGAAGTCTGTCCTCTAAGACTGGTCCGTGTGGGTTTTTCAGCACAGGAGAAGAAAGATTGTTTCCTAAATGAAAGTAGGATGTGTGGCAGATTTTGAGTCGAAAATGTACCCCACACAAGTTTTTAACAGAATTTGAGGGGAAAATGTATGCATCACTGAGTTTTAGACGGTCCAACATCACCTCGGTCTTATTGCTGTTAACCTGAGATAATCCTGAGTCACCCACAACTAGAAATCTTTGACATAGAGTGAAGACTAGGATTGGGTGAAGTATGCAGGCAGATCACAAAGCTCTATTAAAAGCTGTGGAGTGGGGATTCCCAGGAACAAAAACCTGCTCTGTCTTTAATTTATCATTCAACCTGGTGCACCTCCCCTCCCGCCCGTGTCTAGGGGTCATCCTTAACGCTTAGCCTTCAGTTTTTTAACCTGTTTTTCATTTAACATTTTTGGCATTATTATCATCATCATCGTGATTAGTTTCTGTTTATTGTACTTTCTTCCATATTTAATTTGTAGAGAGTGCCCTGAGAATGCCCTGGATCGACAGGCGCTGTACAAGACTTGAGAGCGATGACATGAAGTCGATGGAGTGGCCGCGGTGCGGTCGTACTCACTGGTGCCGGGCCGGATGTCCGACATGTCGATCAGGGGGCCGGTGTTCTGGATGAGGGCGGGGTGGTGCAGAGACACGCCCGTGCAGAAGCTCTGAGGGTTCACTGATTGGCTGAACTCGGTGTCCGTAACGGGGATGGTGGCTTTGTCTTCACCTGTCAGCGTCAGGGGACAGGGAACAGTGTTAGAGAGTGGGATTGGCTTGGCACGTGGAAATATGCACCATGGTATGGACACAGATGGAAAGCAAGACCTTACTGCTCTTGAAAAGCAGCCCTACAAACACTGAAGCAACTTATATAGACATATTAGCTGGCCGGCAGATTTCCAGCAATCAGCCAGATTCCTGAGATACCGACAGACGGGCAAATGGACACATGACCAGCTCTCAGGACGGACAGACTGACCCAGCTGTTTGATGCCCTCCTTGTCCTCGATCAGCAGCTGCACACGGGGGATGTCGATGTGAAGTCGGGGGCCCTGTGGGGGCCCCTTCACCGGCGTGTCGAAACTGCGGTTATTCTTACTGCTCCAGGGAGGGAGAGAGAGGAAGGCGGAGACATAAGAATTTTTCACCACGGGTGATCAAAAGTCCCAGGGGTGGAGACAGGGCGTGTCATTGGGAAGATCTGTCCTATCCTCAGTGCAACATGGAAAGTGATAATAGAAAAAGAAGTTTCCTGTGTAGCCAGGCTTCTCCACAGTTAGGACTGCCAGTGTTCCACTACACTTGATTTATACATTTCTGTACTCAGTCAACTGCTTAACAAGACTGGTCACAATGACATTGCTTCCTGCTTTCTCAATGCCCTGCACACCAGGTGAACGGGTCAGCCACTTCAGAGGTTGTACAAGCCGCATGCTCTTTTTCCTGCTGATTCCTCACTGCTGTCGAGCTCCAGGTTTAACACCAGGCATGTCCGCAGGCAGAACTACTGGAGTGACTGCTTCCCCTGCCCAAGGCGGAAGGGCTCTGAATTCCTTTCTCCTTGGACAGCTACAAAAACATTTCAGCTTGCTTGAACACTGTCGCCTGTGCGTGATTCAGTTTTGTGAGTGTGAAAAGCAATCCATTAAAGGTTAATTACAATTTTAACGGCAAGTCTGAAAGAACTGACTGCGTCAGTGGCGTGATGGTTTAAGTGACTGACTTATCAGCGTGAGGTCGGGTGTTCAAATCCAGCTATCACCACGAGTTTCGTAACCTCAATTTTGTGATTTTTGTGTTTTTGTGATGTGATTTTTGTGAGCTCGCAGAAAAGACATTTCATTGCCAGCAGCTACTGCTGCACGCTGTACTGTTGTGCATTTGATAAATAAACTTCTGATTTGATTTAGAAAGCTGGCATTTATAACCAGTGATCACAAGAAAATATACCTTACCTAATCAGCATTTCAGCCAGGCTTTTAGCATCTGAAAAGGAAAATAACAGCATATAATAATGCAAGTAAAATACATTACACATAACACTGTAGGAAGACTGACGGTCCAGTGAGAAACAGTGTGACACAGTAGTACTGTCACCCAAATTTGTCTCTAATGCCAACGGTTTGGCTGACTGTCTTGTTATTGCACAGTATTCATTGTGTGACTGGGTTGTGGAGTTTCACCTGCATTACACTGCGATGCTCTGCGTCCTGCTGTAATACGGTGTGCTGTGCTGTAGGAGAGTGGAAAGGTGGAGCAGTGGTGAGCACTGCTCTGGGTTCAATCCCTGGGGTGCTGTCTGGGTGGAGTTCACATGTTCTCCAGTCCTCCAGCTGCTAGTTTCCTCCCACAGCTCTAACTCATGCTGATAGGTCAACTGGCTTCTGGGAAAACCGGCCCTGGTGTGAGTTTGTGTGTGTCTGTGTGTGCTCTGCGATGGACTGGTGTCACATCAAGGGTGTAACTTTGTGCTCCACTGCTTGCTGGAATAGGCTCTGGCACCCCCGTGACCCTGACCCTGTACTGGATAATGTGGGTGCAGAACAGGTGGAGATGGATGTACTCATTTCTTACTATGCCCTGATTACAAACTGCTGTAACAGACAAAATCCCCTCACAGTGAACTGTGCTACAGTGTGCGAGTCCCTCTCTCACCCCTCAGCCTCTTCAGCCTCTTCTCCTTGCGCTTCTTGCGGATGATGAAGAGCAGGGCCACGCCCAGCGTGACCAGGATGACGGGGCAGGCGATGCTGAACAGCTTCTTCACATCGTCCCCCTCCCCCCGGGCCGACTTGATTGGGGGGATGGTACCTGGAGAGGGGGGCAGAGAAGAAAGGGACGGCAATGGAAAAACATGTTGCACAGCCACACTGTGGACAACCGGACTGCAGTGTTGCCAGACTGTGGCCCCTGTAGCACCTGTAGGGCCAGTGCCTAGTGCCGATCTGAGCTGTCCTCAAGACGCTGGGCTCGACCATGAGGCACTGCCCTACTCTGCCGTACAGTACTATACTCTTCTATATGTTTAGATTTCTCTGTCCCACCCAAAGGTGAGGTTCCCTATACAGAAGTGTAGAATCAGCTTGAAAAGGTTCTTGTTGTGGTTTGATGAGACAGATTTATAACCCCTCTTTACATAAGAACTGATCTCAAGACCGCATTTCACAGAAGTCAGAAATGTGGTATTGACAAGCTCGTAATGCAAGACACTACGCCATTACCTATGATGGGATGTTTCTGTTGCCCTTTCACGCCTGGTATGACATTTTGATACAGTAAGTGCTTTGCAGGTTCATCACTTGACATGGGTTGCCCTGCACGGTTCGGGCACCATATTTTGTCGTCTAATGTGCTCTTGTTGGATAATGTCCATTAACGTGCACGATTCCTTTGAAGGATGACAGGGAATGAGAAAAGGGGTTCAAAGGTAAAACAGCCACTCAGTGGGAAAGTTAAATCAGGGGAACTGAATTCCTGACCTCGAATTATATCCGCCTTAAGAGCAGGGAAAGGCTTCAGCTTGTCCAATTAATTTCAATTTTGCAAATTAAGTGCTCAGGTGGAAAGGAAACCAAAAACCCTCCAGCTGTCCAGGACTGGAGCTGTGGTTTAAGTATAGATATTTGTCTAATGGTTGCCATATGAGGTTTGATATCTTGTGATGGCAGCAGTTTGCAGAGCTGTGTCTGACCTGTCTTGTCTGGCTTGTGCTGTCGGCGGGTGAAAGTGACCTAGAGACTGTGCTCTTAGTGACATTTCTCAACACCTGCTGCCTGGCAGGGTTTCGAGACTTGGCGCATTTGCAGATTCTTCAAACCGATGACAGGAAAGAGAATCTTGTGCAAAAACAACACAGGATATACATCGGAGCAGTGGGCGCAGGCATACAGCTCCCAGTGTAAGTGTTTAGTGTTTCCAGCTGTGGGATGTGGAACTGCGTGTGTTTAAGTAGTGTGATGGGTGGTATGGTGGTGTGGTGTTAGTGCTACTGCCCTGCAGCATTGCTTTCTGTGTGGAGGTTGTATTTCTCCCCGTTTGGACAGGTTTCCACCCAGAGTCCAAAGAATGCCGGGCAGTTAAATGTCTTCTGGGAAACACAGCCCTGGTGTGAGTGCGTGTCCAGCAATGGACTGGCGTCCCGTCCAGCGTGTATGCTGCCTTGGGCAAACTGCTTGCTGGGATAGGCTAAAAGACGCTGTACTGGACCCAGTGAATGGAAGGTGGATGGAAGCTGGGTGGTTACTCACTTCCATCGTAGTCCAGCGTGGCAAACTGGGAGGTTTCATTGCCACAGCCGGCACTGTTGCAGGCCTTCATCTTGAGCTCGTACCAGGTAGCCTCCCGCAGCTCGGCAAGGAAGACGTCGGAGGTGATGTTGGTGCGCAGGGCGTGCCAGGCCCAGGTGCCCTTGGGCCGGAACTCCAGGAGGATGGCGGTGATGGGGCAGCCGCCGCTGCTCCAGCCCTGGAGGTTGAGCCGCGCGTGGGTGGAGTTGATGTGGGTGAAGAGGTGCTGGTCCTTGTTGAACTGAGGCTCTGGGTCACAGACAGCGCAAGGAGAGGCAGTGTCAGTGAGTCAGTGTGTGCAGGAAGCCAGCAGGTCAGAGTCGGTGTATGGGTACTCATACAAGGCAGTGGCTCAGGGTCTGAGGGGCAGTGAGTCACTGCAGGCACAGCTAACTTGTGCAGGCTGCCAGGAAAATGCAGTGTGAAGTGTCAAAGAGCCACAAGCAAATATTTAAGAATATTTAGATCAATTATTTTTTCATACAACCCCCCCCGCCCCCAATTGTGTGTTCTTCACATCTCGTCTCAGAGCCGCTAAAACCGTGACGGTACACGGGAGAGAGTGAGGAAGAGTGGCCAGATCCGCCCACCTTCCAGTCACTCACTGCTTCACATGTCACAGACAGGACAGTACTGGAGAAGCAGTGCTGACTGGAGGAGAGGTACGTTCCTCACCCACAGCCCCGCACTGACTGGAGTAAAGACTCGGCCCTCACAGACAGCCCCAAACTGACTGGAGGAGGGGAACGTCCCTCACCCGCTGTCTGTGAAGCCTCTGCTGTTACTGTCTGTTACTGTTTCACCACGAGAGCCCTGGCCTCCCCTTGGTAGAGTGCAGCCCCTTGGGATTCTGATTTTGTCACAGTGTGTCAGTGTCAGTGTCTCTGTGGGTGAGTGTAACATTGTAGCATATTCATGTACAGTATCAGGGTGTCTGGCAGTATATCAGGATGTCTGTCAGTGTGTCAGAGTGTTTGTCAGTATATCAGTGTATCTGAAAGTGTGTCAGAGTGTTTATCAGTACATCAGGATGTCTGTCAGTGTGTCAGGGTGTCTGATAGTGTGTCAGTGTCTGTCAGAGTGCCTGGCAATATAGCAGGATGTCTGGCAGTGTGTCAGAGGGACTGTCAGTATATCGGGATGTCTATCAGTATGTCGGGGTGTCAGTACAACAGGATGTCTGCCAGTGTGTCATGGTGTCTGTCAGTATATCAGGGTGTCTGTCAGTGTGTCAGGGTGTCTGTTAGTGTGTCTGTCAGTTTATCAGTGTGTGTATATCAGAGTGTCTGTCAATCTATCGGTGTGTCTGTATATCAGGACGTGTTGCATTTTATGGTGCCAGTGGCTCTGATTAAAATCTTAGTATACAGGTGTGCGGGAGTCAGCCATCACCTCGGCCGTGCGTCTTGGCCTCAATGATCTCGCTGATGCGGCCAGCGCCCACGCTGTTCTTGGCAGCCAGCTTGACCTTGTACCAGGTGCCACAGCGCAGGTTGTCGAGCTTGAAGGAGCGCTCTGTGGAGCTGATGAAGACGTCCTTCCACTCCTCCGTGTTGTCAACAGAGTACTGCAGTACAAAGCCTAGAGAAAAAACAGCGCTTCAGTATGGCCTGTCACACACACACACATACAGCACGCTACTGCTGGAGAGACACACAGGGTTACACACTAACAGGTCAGAATGGCCTGAAGACGACCATGATGTGTGGACAACACTGGCATCCTCATCAAACTGCTGGTCGAGCACGTGTTCTCTGTGGACAGGGGCCTGGTCACCCTGGAAGACACCCCTCCCGCCCACATGGGGTAAAGTGTACTGCAGTCTGACTTGGTTCCTGCTCTGTGGAGTTCTCAGCGGACAGTTTTTTATGTCTTCTTGCCTGTTTCACCTTTGCAGATGTTAGAATTATCACATATCTCAGTCCTGGAGGACACTGTTCATCCCACTGTTGCCCTGCACTGCTGATGTCTTTTCCTCTGAGCTCCTTTCTGACATCACCTTACACCCCAGTGTTCATGAAACACCAGCAGGTTTTCATCACTGAATCGCCTGTCAAAAGTGCCCCAACATGTTTTGCAATAGTCAGTACAGCGCTGTTGTTTCCGAGTAGCTGAGGTGCTAGGTTCTCTGAAGGACACTAGATGGAGATGTTGCGCTAGAGTTGGCATTTATTACTCTGTTCTAATTTACACAGGCCACTGTGATCTCCCTATTTTATAGCCAGTTTGCCATTCAGCCTGTCAGACAGACTAAAACAGTCAATTGGACACACTCAGCGAGAGGGCTGACAGTCAAACACGTCAATGCAAGTCGGACGGATGCAATCAGGCAAGTCATAGAGGCAGAGAGGCTACCTCTGACGAGGACTCCGACACTGTCTGCTGGGATCAAAGCTTGCCGGCTCAGTGTGACTTGTCACATACAGGCTAGACAATCAGACACACGGGCAGTCAGACAGACGGGTAGAGAGACTGTACCTCTGATGGAGCTGCCCCCATTGTCTCCGGGGATCCAAGCCAGGGTGATGGAGGAGGTGGAGGTGGTGGAGACAGTGAGCCGAGGCTGGTCTGGAGGCACTGTGAAGACACAGACCCTTGTCACAGGTCACCCTGGTACTGTTGGGCTTGCATGTCTGTAAATTCAGTGTGCCCTCCTATGGTTGTCCAGGCTTCCAGTGTGCATTGTGCGCGTCAGCATGACAGCAGGGCGAGGTGCGTTACCTTGTACCAGCAGGTTGACGATGATGGTGTCAAAGCCCAGTGTGTTGGTGGCCGTGCAGGTGTAGTACCCAGAATCCTCTGCCTTGACAGCGCGCAAGACCAGCGTGCCATTGGCCAGGATGAGGCGGTGCCCGTCCACAGTCACAGGAATGGCCAGGTCCTCACTGCAGTGACACGCCAACAAGACAGCGGGGTTAAGTGGCTGGGCACTGGGCACAACCCCTCACAGAGGTGTGGAAAAGCCAGACAAAAGGACACCAGGACAGATCATTACAATATTACTCTTCTCTTGTATTACCACACCCTTCAAATTATCCACACAGCAAGCCCTTTGTCTTCCAGCGCCAGCACTGATGGGGGTAACGATGTGACCCTCACAGACAAGGCTGAGCAGCTTACAGGCACCCCAAAAGTCAGAGGGCTAGCAGCAGAGAAATCACCTGTCCGAACCTGTGCATACACCCAGTACAGATATAATATTCTCTCGGTGACTATGTATGGATAGAAGACATCTATCACCCTCAGAAGATTCCTTGTTCTGGTTCCTTGTGGATTTCGGACAAACGCTTAAAAAGCTGCTGCACAGTTCGAAGAAATTGAACGTTCGGGCTCCTGACCCGAGAGAAGTACTATCACCCTCTCCACCTACACACTACACACTGCTGGTGTGCTCTGGGCTCTGGGCCCCCAGGGACTCAGAACTGGGAGACCAGGCAGTCTGTTCTGCTGCTGCATAACTGGGCTGGGCAGTACGTTATTGTCACATGGCCATTGAACCACCAATTACTGTACATTCTTTTCAGCACAAAAACACTGTCATTACAGCACAAGCACAGACTCGAGATTACTGTATCTTTTGAAATTTTTTAAAACTTTTTTTTTTAAATCGATGTACTCAATGAAAATTGTGTGCCTTTTTTCTCACAAATACGCCTGCTCTTTATTTCATTTGCCTGTATAAAAAAAACCTACTGTTTAAAATTCGCTACAGTACACAAAAAGCAAACCACTCATCGCAAACAGCTGATCTGCCCCTACAGGTTACCCTGGCTATTTCTGTATTTTACAGCTATGTAAATATTTATCTTTACCTTTTTTATTATTAG